TGAAAGTTGGAGTACCGTCGGCATTAGGATCATCCAAGATGTCCAAACACTAGCTAAAGATGGCCAAGATCATTGGCCTTTATCAATGTCATGATCCTAAACAACATTCAAAAGGTTTAAGCTTCATAACTCAAGATTTATTTCATAAAAAAATATTTTATTTATGTGTTTTGGAAAGTTCTCGAGGCGTGCTATAAGAACATGTAATGAAAAATTGGGGGTTCCATTCAAAAAATTCAAAGTGACCTTGTGCTGACCTTGACGACGCCACTCAGGGTCAAACCAATATTATTATCTTATGTCCCCCTCGAAGTCCGAAAATTTTTGTCTGAAACATTTTTCTCTCCCGGGCTTGATTTTCGAGATATTCGACTGGATGGATTAAAATGGTCCGCCCTGTATATACTAGTATTATATATACTTAATAATATATACTTAATAATAGTGTTATGCCCGCGCCGTTCGATCTCGAGCGAGTCAAAGTGTACCGATTGCGAGAAGCTGCGAAGCGCGTTTCCCTGACAACGAGCCGGCTGATGTCAAACAGACGGTGGAGATTTTGAGACTACTGTCTTTACGTTCGGACGTGCTGTTCTCTGTTACTGTTTTTATTGCTGTATTCGTTGTTCTAACATTAAAGAGAGAGTTCTTTTACAATAAGTGTTCTATTCATTGATTCCGCGATTCCGCGAGTGCGCGTGCGCGAACGTAAGTCCATAAGAAAACGGTTCCCGGGCGTAACAATATGTATACATTATTTACTTAATATATATATACATTGTATCATTTAAAGCTTATGTTGTAATTTATAATTTATATTAGATTTCAAATTTTGACTGCTTTGAAATTTTATGCAGTTGGGTGCTATTAGGATTCAATAGCGGAGCAGTGGGATATAGAAACGAGCCAACACCATCTGTTAGCCGTTGTATCAAAAGAGTGAGCAATGCGATAAATGATCTTCTCAGACAATAGATTAGATTTCCCATGACGAACGAAAAACGTTTTATCGTAAAAGAAAAATTTAGAACCGTACTTCAACCTTTTATCGGAACTATGGAGCAATAGACCGCATCGACGTAAACATCATAATATCACATGAACGTAAGAAGCTTACGTAAACCATTGGAGTGGTTATTCACTCAATATACTGTTACGTCCGGTAGACTACACGATTTCTCCGTTTGCGAACGTTCGTTTGAATAAGGGTCTTAGAATAAGATAAAAAAAGCCAGATTAAAATTAGGTGTTTTTTCGCCCCTTTTCTGGATCTCTAATTTTGAAGCAAATTTTGTGCCAAACGATTAGTAATAATGAGACAATAATCGCATAAAATTTTTGAATTGAGCATATGACTGATTTGCGAAATATAGAGGGTCAAAGTTGTACCTATCCTTTGAGAATGTTTGACACTATTGTGTTTTCATTGCTCTAATATTTATGTTAAAAAATAGTTCCGATATTTTATTGTTTTTTGGATCGCTGATTACGAATCTGAAATCTAAATTCCAAAATTCAAAAAGGCAGATCCAATATGCCTGCTCGATATTGCAAAATTCAAAATAATCTGAATGAATTATATGTATATATTGCTTCTCGGGGATCTTTTAGATTGCTGATTATGAATCTAAAGTATGAATTCCAAAATTCAAAATGCCAATATGGTCCAATATGGTGGATGCAGATACGCAAATATAAAATTTTTGCGAAACTGAAATCTAGAAAAATTACGTGTTGTTCACATCCGTCTTTAAAAGATTATAAAAAAGAGTCAAGGAATGGTTTGGGGGTTTTTAAGGGATGGATGAGTAAAAAAATACCGGAAGATCTTCCATGAGGAACTTACGGGATTTTAGAGTTATTTTCAGATAGAATTTGTAATAATGTCTTAAAGGATTTCTACACCGTAACCAAGAAAACTATTTAAAAATCAATATTAAAATCCAATTGATGAAGGAAAAGTTTAATCAAGATCCTGACTATGCAATCAAGATATCAGGAATTAACCAATGAAGATAAGATCTAAGACTATCAAGATCGCAACTATCTGAACGCAAAATGTCAGAAACAAATCAGTGAAGGCAAGATGTTGTCAATGTCCGGCTATTTATAGCAAAATATAATCAAGATCCAACCAGTGGAGGCAAGTTATAATCAAGTTTAACATGCGATGCGATAAATATAGTCAAGTTCAAAAGATTTTCCAGCCTATCAAGGCGAAATTAAAAGGATATTCGGAGTTTGAAACGTGTTTGTTTTTAACAAACTTTTTTAGGAATAGTTATAGATACTTTACAGATTCCAGGATTGGGTATATATTTATTCTATTATACTGTCCGTATCCAAGAAACCAGATAATTGTCACGATATGGCTGCAACAGCCAACCGCGCCACT